TTTAGTTAAAGCATTTTTTCCTAATATATATCGTATACACAGACAAAAAAAAAATACAAAATTATAAAATACTAAAATAAATAGGTACACATTGATTAGAGTATTCAGAATCTAAAACAGTTTTCTTATTTCATAATACAAAAGAATTTCGTTAAATAATAAATATCAGTAATTTGTTCTATCATATAGATTAAATTGTGGAATGATTATTGCTTAACTGTTGTGTTAATAATTACTATGTATAATTTATTTACTATTTATTATCTCTAATAATAAAATGATTCACCGTCATTAATATAATTATTTATTATTACCTATAATTATCCTTGATTATTATGTTGGTAGAGGCTTTCACAATATTTTTCTCCTTTGTATACAGTGGCGTGCACAGAAATTTTGAATGGGGGTCAACTTTTTTTAATACAATATTATTATCAATTAAAATAATCTGTGATATGATTTTATATGATAAATTGATAACTTGAAAATTATATTTTGTGATTTGTGATTGTAGATACTAGTTAATAGGTAGTTACCCTTAGATCATATACAATGGATGGAGCCACGGATTAATATTTTGATGTACATGTTAACGACAAGTCGCCAGTTATTTAGCCTTTACTGTGCATGCGCAAGCGACAAGTCGCACATTTTTTGTACAAATTGTACATAATCTTGATTAAATTAGAAATCTATTGTCTTCAACAAAAAGTTGTTTATGGAAAGAGTTATTTAAAATTTCTCTATTTATTTTAATAAAATTATGGTATACAATAAATAAATATTTGTATAAAAACTGTTCTATAAAGATATATTATATTTGTATTGATCACAATATTACCTATACTCTATAATGCCAATAGTATAAGTATAGTATAATATATTATATTTTATATTAAATAATAATTTATTAATTCTTAGTACGTACTAAACAATTATGTTATTAATTTAGTAAATGAAAAATACATACATCCGTATTCCATTTTAAATTGCATTACCTGTACCAATAATAACCAAGATAGCGACAAAAATAAACTATATAACTTTATTTTATATAAATATGTAATATTAAATTCTAATAGATTAAAGATGAAATATGTGTGGTATCATTTGAATGACGCACAAATAAAATATTTAAATATTTAAATCTTTAAAAAAATATTACGGCGATCTATTTATTTTGAACCTAACAATGAATGATATATTCGTGAATTATAATCATATTTTATGATGAAATACTATATGAAAAATATTTTTCTTACGAGTACCAAATGAGTTTTATTTATTATCCACAATTCACAAACCCACACACCACATAGGTACCTACAGATTGTCAACGATAATTAAAGTTAATACATAAAGTATAACAATCTAAGGAATTAACATAATAATATAGGTACATCAACCATCAACTTATAAAGCTATTGTGTTCATTCATTTTTATTTTACTACAAAATTCTATACCTGTACACAAAGTGCATTTTATTTTGTTTGAAGTACCTAAGTTTTTGACCAGGCGTGTCCAAATACTTCAACTTATTTAATAATGCAACCATATATAGACATCGCCCATTCATAAACGCATTATGTATACCCTCAAGATTTCATGTGAAATCTTACTCACACGTATACATATATTATTATTGTATGAGTTATAAATTTAATAGAAAACAATTTTAATTTATTTAAAAAAATCTAATATAAATAATAAAATGAGTAATATAAAGATAAATATACTGAACTTAAATTATATTTTAGATTAGTGTTTAGAAATTATGTTTTAAAATTTTATTTAGATTTATATTTTAATAAGCTACTTTACTCATCGTCATCACTCATCACTCATTAGTAATGAAAAGATATTAATAAACTATTGTAAATTATGTACCTACTTTTTCTATATAGATACCTATTAATTCTTTTTAGATACCTATATTGACTAGTTAAATTTTAAAACTAAAATGTGTATTGTTTTCCTTAATTTTTATTTATTTTATTAGACCTGTTATATCAAAATAAAAGAATAAACAAAAACGCATAAAAAAATCAAAACAAAAAATCTAAAAAAAAACAACAAATATTAAAGAAACAAAGAAACAGATGAGTCTAAAAATCAAGATATTGATGATGTAATAAAAAAAAAAATGTTAAAATTGTAATGCTTTGTCTTTTATAAATGTAAATAGAGATTTTCAAATACTTCCTATCACCACGTAAAAGTTAGGTAAGCTCTCTAGTCTCTAATCTCTGAACGTCTGAACATGATGCGTATCTACAAGAATTGAAAAATGTAGAATGATGATAAAATAAATAAACATTTTAAACTTAATATTTGAATTTCTAACAATTTATTTACATTACCACGATTTAAAAATCAGGATTAAGTGTCAATTTGAAGAGAAATCAATCGAAAACATTACATTTGATGAAGCATTACAGAAATATGTGTATTATATTTTATGTAAAATGATAATAATTTATATAATTTTTTTTATTATTTTTCATTCAATTTATTTTATATTAGATATGAAGTCTCAGCTCCTAAAAATATAATTCAACAGAATTTGGTAATCAAATAGCAAACAAATGACAAATCCCAATCCCCCTATTATTATACAAAATAAAAACACATATTACATCTATAAATTATGGAGAAATTCGTGTTGAAGTGATAAAAAAAAAATATAGACTAGTAAAATTATGACAACAATCTGTTTAGTATATATATACTATTTGTATTCTGTACACTAAAATCTTACTGGCGTATTGCGTTAACATATGCATGTACACGCACACAATAAAATAGTATAATATGGTTTATCACTTATTTGAGGACGATGACCATACGATTAACTATTATAGCATATTGAATATTCGTTAACCTTAACCGTGTTAGATTTCAATTACCGAAAAAACCGTCTTATGCTGCGTTAGTTATTTATACACGCCATCAGTAGGTACGCTGCTTCAAGACGATTATTAATTATTATTACTTCTTAACTCAGTTGTCTGTTTTAATTTTTATCCCATTGCCCCCATATTATTATTATCGCTCATCTGGGTTCCACATAAACAGTTCGGTGTAATATTTATCGTAAGGCGACAACATTCTATACGTTGTATATACTCGTATGATCATATATAGGTACATATAGGACCGCCGTTAACCGAGTTATTTATAAGGCGATGACGGAGATTTATAATCCACATGGGTAAAGCGAAACAACAAACACGACGTATATAACCATCATGTATGACCCTACAGTATTCAATGCGTGCGCGTATTCGTCATATAGGGCGTAAATTATATAGAAGCGATCCCTTGTACAATATTAAATATAGTAAAAAGTGAGTAGACCATCATCGGACAAAAAAGGGGTCCTTTTTTTTCTCGATACACATTAAACGTATAGCTGAGTACAGATGTTACCCCGACCCGGCCTGGCGAGTCTGCAGCAGAGCGCGTAGGTAGGTATACAAAACAGTAGCAGTGCATGTATCAAGGGGCGAGGAAAACGTTTAATTTCTTTTTTACAACGAACATAATATCATTATATATTTTTTCCTTTGATCATCTCTGCAGCAGGTGATGTAATTTTACATATCCGTATATTATTGTGTATACACGCATGCCTGTCTTGCTAAAAAAAAAAAAAAAAAAAAAAGAATAACAAATTACAGAAAAAAGAATTAAGGTGTTTTAACGAGACGTTACATACTATAACGTATACGTTATTATTTTTTATATATTTTTTTCAACACAAACGTCATTTAAACGAATTATATCGCATTTATTCTAGTATACTTATAAATATGGTGCATTGGTGCATATATTTATCTGAGCTCTGAATTCTGACCACCTGCTGCAAGTCTTCAAATTTTATGGTCTGTAACGACATCTTTGTTTTCGTTCACAGTTGTTATTGTTGTTATTTTTTTACACAACGTATACAAGTATACACATAAATAAGTAAAACGTGTAATGATGTATTTAATGGTCGCGATAGATTTATACGTGTTTTTATAACATTCTTTTTTCCTCTTCCTTTTTTTATCGTTTCGTGTGTGTATATAATATTATAAATGTGTAATAATATTTTAGTAAAGTTTGCACGCTTCTTTCAATAAAATATAAATTTATTATACTATACATATAACGTGTAATTGGCCGCTATTGTGATACAACTATAGAAGATTTTAAGTTTTATTTTATTCAGAACCACCATTTATTGATAAACATAATTTTGATTAGTTTTAAATTTTAAGTACCTAAATTCTTTACAAATAGTGGTAATATATATTTTTTTCAATAACTCTTTTAAATGCCAATAAAATCTCGGTTATTCTAGATTTTTTTATTTTATCTCACAATGTTTTTAAGCTAAAATTTTCAAGTTAATTTTTAAAACAATATGTAGTTTGATTAATTTAAATTTATATTGTATTAATTTTTCGGTTGTTTTTGTGTTAAATTTGTTTGTTTATTTTTTTCTGTATTATTACTTTATATATTCTAAATATTAAATTCTAATTTCTATGTGTCAATAACTAAATTAAATTATTACTTCACTATTATTTTTTAAATGACTTGTCGGATGATTATTATAAGTAAATAAATATATATACCCGCATGCATAATAATAGACAAGCACTCGGCGAAAGTAGGAGACTTCAGATATACCTACGACCGGCATCGCAGTTTACTATAACATTATTATCGTTGTAAAAAAGAATTGTATAAATATTTCTAGACATTTCCAAATTGTATCTATAAACTGTATAGCTTTGCATTAATATAATATATAATAGGAATGTACCTAGTGCGAATACGCTTTACACCCGTGGCGGAGGAAACCATCAACCCATTCATAATATAATATTTTAACGTACTAGCGTAGTAGGCATCAGAGTATGATATAACAATATGATATAATATATTATGCATATTATTTTAATATATTATACACGACGGCGGTCGACGATGCACACGCGCGTCGCGCAGATCCAGACACCCAGTCATTCGGTCACGACGCGCGATCACGGCATGTCGTCGGTACGCCGCGTGCACGAGACAGCCGCAGTGGGTAGTCGCGTTCGTAGTTTTTCGGTTATCGCGTTTGTATAATGTCTGTAATAACAAGCGATTATAAAATATATTAATGTGGTGCTGGTTTTGTCGTAAAAAGATAGATTAATTATTACAATATTTGATTCGCATATCACTGTAAATTTCAGTGTCACGCTCCACAGACGGTCGTCGGCTGCAGTTTCGCGGTAAATAAAAAAAATAATATTTTTAATTAGATGCGGCGTATAGGTACGTAAGTACATCCTACAGTCTTGCTAATATACTGCAATAGTACAATACGCTCCAACTACACGTCTAAATATATTAACCCCGCGTACAACGGTTTTAACAATCGAATTATAATAGTGCGTATTGCATTATCTATTCGATTTGTATAATATTGTATTATTGTAATAGTTAGTCAATAGACAGCACCCGATACATTTTAGTTGGGTGACCGCTGACCGCGGTCGTGTTGCTTATTCCGGAAACGTTATAAATTATAATTAAGGTTTTCCAGTGTGTAAAAAACAAATAATGTTTAAATTCGTTCGGTGGTTTTTTTTTCATCAGAAACGTGAGTCATTAAAATCATTGGTAATTATTAAATTAAAACGGACTTTAGACGTGTGCTTTTTATATTATGTGCATTTTATTGTGTAAATAACAGTGAATAGAGCAAATGTGTTTTATGATAATATACTTAATTAATTAAAGTAATTTGGAGTTAAATATATTACCAGTAATAAGCTTAATACTTATATTAGACTTATTAGTTTTTTATGACGTATATATTATATGAACCCAATGGCTTTAAACGTTTTAATATATGCATTACTGTATTATGATTTACGGCGAATAAAATATCTATAAAATGTTGATTTCTTACTATTTTTAAATAAGATTTTAGTTACTACTCCATATTATGGAATTCGATGTACTCATATCATATTGGGATAATCGCAGTGGACCTTAACATATGTATTTAGGTATAATAGAGATATAATAAACTTATGAACTAAAAAATGGAAATGATAATAAAACCAAAAATAAATAGCGAGTGTTACTGATTATTGACCAATGTACTAAACTACTGAGATAATATAATATTAACATATTATATCCTGTTGTACAGAGTGATTTATCAAGTATACTCAATGGATTGATGAGTTATCTTGTTAGGCATTAAGCTCACTAAAGTATTCATACGTTATTTCATTCAAAAGTTTATTTATTAGCTTATTAAAAAGTAAAAACTGATCAATTACCTTATTTTTTAATTTATGAAAGGATTCAGGATTAAATTTTTTTAAATACAACTATATGTTAATATACATATTTTTTTTTAATGTGGAAATTACGACTAAACGTATAATTTATTATTTTATTATATTATTTTTTGTTTTGAATTGCATTTATATTATTACAAGGTAAGCGTAATCTTTATGGACTTAATGTTTATCGCATTATTATTTATTTTGTAATCCTCATTATATGTATTCATGACTCATGTTCGTGAGGCTCAACTTTTTCTTAAAAAATGTACCTTACTGTCGAATGAAATACTAATCCCTGAATACATATTGTATATTAGTATAGTTTAGTAACTTATATGGTATAGCTGTAAGTATTCTTGCATCTCTTTGTATTCTTCTAAATTATATTCTTAAGACACGATCACACATTAAGAAATTTATTATTTTACCATCGTTACCTATTTTTTAAAAATTTCTGATTGTGAATTTCGAAAAATATTCAATATACTTTTAAGTTAAAATAATTATTTTCACTAAGCCATACGTATGTTGTTTATTTTTCTTAAAATACATATTTCTTCAAATATAAGCATAAAAAATCAATTTGAATAATCTACTGAATACTACAAATTACAATAAAATACAACTAATACAACAAATGTCCAATGTATATTGTGATAACTTGATTAATTTATATTTTTTATATGAAAAATTTAAATAAGCTTCTATTAAGTTATAATAATCTACAATTAGAAGCTATAAAAAAAAATTAAATATTTATTAAATTAGATACTATAGTTTCAAATATTGTAATGTATTAAAATAAACTTGTTAATTAAGAACTATTATTACATGAATACAAAATATAAATACATGAACAATTATAGTTTAATTACCTGCTGATGAACTTTGTAATTCTGCCGATTGCATCGTTATATAAATGTAGAAATATAGTAATAAATAAATTTCATTTTTGGAATTATGATAATATTTTAATGTCCAAACAGATTGTAATTAATTATACAAGAAATGCTCATTAAAAACGTAACAAAAACAATTTGCCTAGTAATTACGAGTAAATGTCAACAATAAAGTCGAAACTAGATGTGAAGTACCTAGTTATCATTAAAAGTGATTGATAGTAAACATATGTTTTTTTTTTTAAACGAAACAGATCTTAAATAATTGTATTTTGAATATTTACACATGGAAAATTATTCTATAATAATTATAATAATAGTGATAAGTAATAACTAATAAAAAAAAAAAAAAAAAAAAAAATGAAAACCGTATATTTTATTGTGTACCCATCCAATCAATTGTAAAAACTAAGGACGTTTTTTAACTAAAATATCAAGTAACTAAGTAATTAACGTCTTATATACTTATAAGTTATACCTTAATGAATATATTATAATATAATATAGATAATTAACATAAACAATATTTATATAAAAATATAAAATATATTAATGATATAAAACTAATTTTTATTCTTTGCACATTGCACATGAAATGGACGTAAATGATAATAACTAATAAACGTTGTCTATTTGTACATTGATGTTCATTGATGTATATAATTTTGTTATCGCGTGGGAATACTGTAATAATTTAAAAATAGATTTTAAGTTGTTTAGTTAAACGTTTCATCTAAAAAAAAAAATATTTATTTAAAAACTGTTCCAACAATATAAATTATTTAAGATTGGTTATATCATGTTTGTAATATAGGTTCTATACCTTATACTTTACAATGACAAATGCATTTGTAATGGACGTTGGAATTAATCGTAAATACTTTTTATAGCTTATAAAGTATTTTCTAAAGATAAATAAATAATTTATTCAAATATTAAAACCTTACTTTACTCTTTTACTGTTTACATATTTAGAGATTTTCACCAAAGTGGTCATTATTTCGGACTTGGTTAATTTTAGTTTTTAATCATTAAAAACAATACCTATTCTAAAGCTAATTTGAATTAGTTTAGATCTGTAAATAAATTTTTATTGAAAATCGTTGTAAAGGTTAAATCGAATATTATTTTGTTATAGGCTATGACTTTATAAATATATAACATGAATTTGGATTTGGGTGTAGCCTTGCGTAGGATAAATACGTATTTTAAATAGTTAAAATGTATACAAAAGATTTAACCTAACAGGCCGCTTGACTATATATTATGTACTATGTAGTACAAGTATACGCATAATGTAATATTGCAAAATATATTAAATTAATGTTTTATTCGTATTAGTTATAACTTCATACAGTATACATATTTTGTTTATAAATAATGATTAATATTTTGAGTTAAGTATGTATTATATAGGTATAATGATACATAGTAAATATTAATTTTGGCACTTTTTAATAATTTATTACACGACTGTAAATTTGCTGATATTATAATCATTTTATCATCTTATATAGATTTTACCGGTAATTTAAATAAAATAATAGCCCATTGATCCATATTATTTATTTGCCATTAATTTAATTTAACTATTTAAGTAGACTAACAATGACTTATAGAATGACTTAAAATAATTAGAATAAAAAATACCTATGTATGTATGAAAATATTGAAAATTAACAGCTGCTTCAATATATTCGTTTTTGCACTGTAAACGTGTAGGTATATAATATTATACTCGAAAACATTAATGTTTTATAGTTAAAAGAAAGTTTCACTAAGCATTGTTTTAAGTAAAATATAGATATTTGATAAATATATTTACCTATTACCTATTATAGAACATAAAAAATATAATATTCTTTTGTAGGTAGAGATACTTATAGTAATATTACTATATTATAAAACTACTTTAAACATCTATAATGTCTATATGCATAATTTAAAGTCTGAGACCACCCGTTTTCGAGTAAGTTTTAAGTTCATTTAAGAAAATAAATTAGAAAAAAACCTCTGATGTTTAAAAAACTTTATTTTTAGCATTTAATAAATTAATATAAACGTCACATAAGTTATATATAAAAAAAAAAATGGATTAAATGATGTTTGTCAAATAAGTGTATCATACTATATATATATTAAAAAATAACCATGATTTTTTAATCTATAGTTATAATTAGTATCTAGGTAATTAGGGGGCAATCTAAATATTGAACAAGTCTTTAACCATTATTTTATTATGAATATTATTACCTATAAAAAATCTGAGAAATATAATATCTATGCAGTAAAAAATAAATATACGTTTAAATATTAAGGATAAAGATCACTGTAATCATAGCTGAGGGGGTCTCAAACTCTCGATTATAGTTTACGATTTATACTTTATAGATAAATACTCCTCGTGATTCGAAACGGCAAACTATTGGAAATCCGAATATGTATTTACTTACAAAATCATCAAAAAATGTATGGTAACAAAATAATCATGTTTACTTCAATGATTCATATAATAATAGATATATAAATTCAAAAATATGTAGATATTAAACTATTTTTCTTTTAAAATATATGTAATGAAATGTTATTTTATATTGATATTTTAATGATTAAAATAAAATTTGGTACATTTTATACAATTATACTTAACAGTTATAATGTTAACGATATTAACTTTATTTATATTTATATTTTATATTAATAAATATTGTTAATTAAAAAAATAGCTTAAAAAGTATTTTGATATTAGTTAAGAAGACGGCGCGTGAAGCTTCTATATAATATAGCTACGCTTCAACTATATTACTATAATATACTATATACCCATTGTTTCTAATTATAGATATATAAAATGTTTTAAACTATAATGATAAGTATTTTCTATTTCGATTTCTTATTTTATCGTTCTCTCTATTCCATCTGCGGACTAACTTTTATTTTATATTGCAGTATGCGATTTTTCAAATTTCAAACCGGTTGCTCAAGTGCACTGCATACTATAGTTGCACACTGCCTATAGATTGTGTTAAACTGGAATAAAATATTTACTCATAATTAAACATAGAAACGATTCACAAAAACACACTTAATATTAATTGACATTTGATAATTTTAACTTAAAATATTGATGTGTATCTATAAATAAAAGCCTAATTTAAATATCATACGTTGTAAATGCACTAAAATTAATTCTTGTTTTGTATGTATGTTTTTAATTTGCATAAATTTAAGCACCTATACATCTTATATAACTTTGTGAGTTATGTATTATAATTTATGATAACTTAGATTTTTAACCTAGAAAAAATAATGATTTCACAACTCAAACTCTAAACGACAAAATTGCTTATAATTACTTTAAACAGTTTTATACCAAAGATTACTTAATAACTATTAACAGTTTCACAATTTTAATTCTTATTAAATTTATCGTATTTGCTGTATGTTGACTTTTTTTAAAAGAAAGATGGGTTTTTGTTTAATGTGTTTAAGATTTGTGTACATTTTTATCTCTAAATAATTTTCCAACGCATGTATTTCAAAAAAATACACATCGTATTGAATACATTGGAACTTACACATCGTATTGAATACATTGGAACTTTGTGTTGTTAGTAGTTAATATATTTTATCAACATAATAATTATGTATAAAACGATTTAATCTACACTTAAAACATGTATATTATACATTTATTTTTGTGCAATGGTTCGTCATTGTCTGTCATTTATAAAATAAATATAAGAAAGTCTATACTTCGTTGTATAATTTTATTCTAATGGTATAAACTATAATTTCATAGCATATTTATTATTTAAGTCACTCGTTTGTATAATACCTGTTATATCTATATTTTTTTAATATTCGTGTACATATTAAAATATATTTATTCTGTTTTCACTTCGACACTTTTAGTATTACGTAAAAAATAAAAACGAAATATTGTGTTCAACAATTAACACTGATGTAGTACGATAACCATATTATACACTCCACCTACCTACTATAATACCTATATCTAAAACCTACATATGTGCATTAAAATGTTATAGGTACTACATATTTTTTTGCTTTACACGTAGCCATACAAATGCTATGATGCGTATTTTTTCTAAACTGTTTTATTCCCTATAGTAATTTGTACATTTTTCATGTCAAAAAAATGATTTAATTACTCCGGATGAACAATTTGTAAATACATTTTTTTCATGTTATATCGAGTGTGTAACAATATATCCCCAACACTCTTCTATCTCACCCACGCATTCTTGTTTATATCGTATTTCTTTTCAATTTGTTTTCAGAAAAAAACTATCAAACACTGGGACTGAATAATACGTATATTTTAGATCATTTATAACACAATTACACTCATAATTAATACGTATTTTGACACGAGGGGGGATTAAGATTCGTGAAACTGAAATAACTGCTACAAGTACTATAATAGTATATGCGAGTTCACTATATACGAACAGAACGCATCACTTAATTACTCTGCAGGTGTCGAGCACTATTTTAACTTTTGCGCGCATGGACTGCATAATATAAAGATTTTAAAAATATTCCACTTTCACAAATAGGTATTAGTAGGTATTATTACAAATGTTAAATAATATATTATATTATTTATATTGATGTAGCCTTGGGAAAAATAGAAGCACTCGTGTGTTCAGAGCTACAGTCTAATAAATTAATACAAAATGAACTTTTCTATTTCATAATCACGCGTTTTTCAATTTAGATCAGTATGTTGGCGTATTAGCTCACATTAATTTTGTCAATAAGTTTTGTAAAAAAAAAAGTATTACTACCATTATTATTATTTTTTAGTTTTTCACTTTATGGAATGACAATGTTCATTTTTAATTTTAAAATTTCTAAGAATATGTTTTTTTTTTTAATTTAAATATTTAAAGTCCTCTATCATTTGTTATTTTGTAATAGCATAAAATAAAAAAATTAATATATCTATATATATATAAGTATATTTCCGAATTTTTAATACACTATTCAAGAAAATGGGTAGTTACCTTATAAATAATCACCTTTTATTTGTTATGTTGTATGATAATGTGTGATACACTCAACGACTTGACATGTAAGTGAACGAATGAAATAATATGTTGTTCGGCTACCGCCGAGTCTTCTATATAACAAAATATATTAAATAATATTATGTGCAATGGCGCAATGCGTTGTGATGTACCGGTTGGATAATGTAAATTAAGACGTCAATATTATATGTAGCTGGTTTTAATTTTCACTCGTTCATTATGTAGTCGGTTAAAAATACGGACAAAAAAAACACATTAAGGGTCTCTTATTACGCCGTGAATATTTAAACGCCATTTTTAATTCATTTTTTTTATTCGGGTGTACATTTTTTTCTTTCAAATCACGGCCGCACACCACATGCCGTCCAGAATAATATCGAATTATTATTATTCGTGCCGAGTGGCCTATAGATGCCTCTCTCCAATATATTATTATATATTCGTGTAGCATATATCATATATGTATGCGTATTCTTTTAATAACGAAATCACAATATACATATACGCTCAAATGTAGGCGCACATATAATAATTTATAATAATATATACTGTAATGAACGATCAAGTAATGACTATAAACACGTATTGTCTACGGACACGCGCTCGGTATAATATATAATATAATATTGTGTATGTACTTACCATTGGTAATAAGTAATAACGTTAAAAGGAAATTCCGATCGTGTTGTTCCGGTGTTGTTTTCGGACACGGACAAAATTTTAAAACAATACACGCGACAGGTAATATCAAAATACGTCACATTGGTAATGTATATATATATACCTAGCTAAATTATTATTATTATTATATTGTCGCCGTAGTCGTTGTCGGTCTCCCAGCGAGGTTTATACACATCACCCGTCATGCTGGAGTTGAACCAGGTGCGGTCGTCAGCGGTGCGCGCCGCAGACCGTCTCGACCGCTCGTCGGGGGAATTCTTTTTTTCGAGGGTTGATGGGCGCGCGCAGGGTCGGGATGTCTCATGCCCGTGACTAAGACGAATAGAGGTAAACGCAGTAAGAGGGTATATAATATTACGCGCGACAGAATGTACACATGAGTCACTATCGTACACACACAACATAATACAAATATGTCTATATATGGGCTATAAATGCAATAGGTTATATTATTATTATTATTATGGGCGCAGACGGCGCAGCAATGAAAACCTTTTTTTTCTATCTATTAACGGACCTCCAATATATTTCATTACGACGTCACCGTATGTTATGCCGTCGTTATTATTGTATTATTCTTACACAGTTATTTACGTGAATATTGTTGTAGCCGATGTACGCATAGCAATCATCACTTTGGCACCACGAACACGTGTAGACCACATATATATATATATATATATATAATATATATTGTATCGGAGGGGCCGGTTTCGTGCAACGCACACCTCCTATATTTATATACAATATTATGTACTATAATATGTATAGCGTTATAAAATGAGGTTTCGCCGCAATAATCAAACGAGAGCCGCTCTAATATAATAATATACGCATATAATACTCGTATAGCTGTGGTGGCGTGGTTCCCGCGACGGTTTTAACGTTTTTAATTTGGTAAAATAACCCCGGGCCCTTTACCTCGGTATATTATGCTTTGTTTGCAGTGCACGTCTACATAGATAGTACAATATATGTGCACATAAATATATCTATATGGGAAATACGACGTTCGTGCGATATCCAATTTGACCACGTCTTTATTATCTGCTATATCGGCGATAATAAAAAATTACAAAGTGAACTAAAAGTCTAAACAATAATTACTAATATTATAATATAATAACATTCATATGTTTATTTCCATTTTGTATAGTATTATTATTATAGTTTACCTATAATATAAACTATATATATTATTATATATATATATTTTTTTTTATAAAGAAAAAATATTATTATTATAGATGAGAAAATATATTGAAATGTAATATGTAATAATAATTAAATGTATTAAATAAAAAATAAATATACTCGTGGTTTTGTGTATGCAGGTCGTAAAGATGTATTTCATTTTAACCGCCAAAAGTCTGTTGTGGGTCACGTTGAGCATAGTGTCCACTATTACTCTATTTACGGCCATTTACTCGCCGAAATGGCTCATCGGACCTACTGATTACAACTGTCTATCGAGCAAATCGCTGTCTACTGAAAGTAAGTCCATGCAAATGAAACGTACCTCGAATTTAACTATATTACGTCTAGAGGCAGTATCTAGCCGCAATGACGACCTTGAATAAAATAACACACCTTACGTCCGTGTGTAATTCATTTTATATTATTACATTTTATCATATTTTATTACAAACTAAAAAAAAATATATAACATACAATAAATACGACAATGCGTGCATTCATTGCATTTGTATACTGCACTTGTGCATTACTTCTGTGCAATTGATAACCGTTGGATTTTGTGTTCACAGCGAACAGCACCGTAGACTCGCCGTACTACGAAGTGCGTTGCCGTCCGTCCGTGGGCATTTACTACAGGTGTAAGAAAATCAACGGTAACCAGCACTGTGGTTCATTCGCTGTCGAAGGACTGGCTACGGATTCAACGATGTTCCCGCTCGTATGGAAAATTGGCCTAGTGTTGATGTCCGCTGGCGTTTTCGTCAGCTTTTTAATGTCCGCCTTAGCCGTGATCAGTTTTTGCAAACAATCTATAAGCAAGAAAAGCGTGTTCGGGATAGCTGGTTCCGGGCAAGGACTTGCCGGTAATGAATAATAATCTAATATACATACACATTACACATATAAACAGTATCATTAGTATCTGAATATCATTGAATTAGCAAGTATTGCTTACAAGTTAAAATATATATTATATTAAAACACGTGGCACCTAATATATCATGTAATACAATATAAATTGCCGCGTGTTTTGCGAGTAGCTATTCTCGACGTACCCACTGATGGAGTATCTAAAATTATATTCTGAACCTGAAAATATAGTATTTTGTTATTTATAAACATTGATACCTCTACTATTATTTCGTTGCTCTGAAATCGACATCAAATTCATATAATCTTCCAATTATAACGTCCTATTGGTTGTACCTGATATTTTATTGAACTTAAAATGTTGTGTCTCTTTTTACCGTCACAGAAACCATACTCTTTTTCATATTCTTATCTTTTCCACTTCTTATGGTCATAAACTCATAACTCATAACACTCATGACCATTCTCTACATCATTGTGACAAAATTAAATTGAAGGTATTAGGTAACCGATCGTAACAATTGGCGAGTGCTAACAGTAGTTATTAAAATTAAACTATTCTCTTTCCAAGTTAAAAAACAGTCGACGGCCGATTAATGCGCAGAGGCGTGGCTAAACTACACGGCAGGCATATAAACGGATGACTCGGGGGGGTGACAAACGGGTGTTATTTGACCTCCGCCTGACGAAACTGATCACCGCCGTCAATGTTTTTTAACTTGAACAGAATACTAGAGTATAACTATTAATTACCGAATGCTTAAATAGTGAAAATAAATACTTATTGATATTGCAGCAGTGAAATGAGTGGAAAAAAAACTGTACATGTTTTATAGTATCTTAAAAGGTATCTTTAATCTGTATGACTAGGTGTAATAATAACAATAATAATATGTAAATTAAAACTTCCACAATTCACAATAATACTATTAATAACTAATAAGTAGGTATTATGAATATAATTCTTGGGCTCAAGGTTATTAATTTATATAGACGATTATTGTTTGGCCTATATATTTTAATGTTGTTGATAATTAATAATTATTATTTAATATGATAAATACATTTTTATCTATAAATAAAATGTAAACAATTTCGTAAATCTATTATTTTTTTTTTAATAATATTTTCTATATTCTGTGAACTTATTAATTATAAATTGTAACAAAATATTTTTCTGAATAATATAAAAATTAGAAATTAACTTAATTTGTAATATTAAAAACGTTTTAAGTTGATTTTAAGTTAACGTAGAGCCTTTAGAGGCAAATGAGTTGAATTTAAAATAATTATACTACGAGAAAAGTGACAGATTACCATGAATAGTTTACATTTATTTTTTATATTATATATTATACAAATTTTACAATTATATGAAAAATGAATTCATGTATCAAGTTTATACTTAAGTACAGGATTTCTATTGGTATTGGTATAATATTATATATTATGCGTATAGGTACTGTACTCATACGTACATGTTGATTGATATAAGTAACTTCATAAGAATTTTTAACAATGAAGTCGTTGGATGTCAAGCCAGTCAAGGTGACCATATGTTCAAAACAAGATAAAAATGAATCGCGCTGAAAGAACAGTCGAATGTGTTAGCACTGAATGTTGGAAATATCGCAGCGATTATAATCATATGTCATCCGCAGCAAAATTCATTTTTATCTTTTATTATTCTCTCTTTAGCTGTTCCACGGTGCATTTAAATGTGAAATTCAGAAAAAAAAAATGTAATAATATAGGTAATAAAAATTATTTATCTACAAAATATTTTAGTGTCATAAAATTCCATTGGGAACAACGAGACAACCGAAAACGGCACTGCCCATTTTAAACCGAACGTATGGTCACCTTATGTAATATAGACTATAAGATATATGTGTATAAAATATATAACCAAATCTGACGAATTGTTTATTTTTGTCTTTTAGTTTTACTCTATCTGATCGGTGTAATTTGTTTTGCCGCTGGCTGGGGTTCAGAACGCGTGGTGATGCTGTGCGGTACTCAATCCGTGCCTTTTGTTTCTGCGGATTGCACGAACGGTATGTTGCGTATACTTTCAATACAGTTTTATTTTAACAAAAAATATAAGCTACCAAGCCTAAGCAATAATAAAAAATAAAACACCCGACTCCCGAGAGCATAGGATAACATATAATATACGAAGTTAGAATTATTATAGAAAACTATCCGAAGTTTTAAAATTATTAAAAACACGATCACTGTGTCGTGTTCTATATTTTATTTCATAAATAGATATAAGTATTTTTTTTTTTTTAATCAAATCATATTTTACGTCACGACATTATGCACCACGGATTTCTTAGTCTGTGGTTGCAATCTGCATGTAAAAACTAAAAAATGCAATTGTTTTTTTTACATTCATATTTACAAATTACAATGGTTCTTACAGTTTTTAAATACATCTCATTTTGAATTTTTCCAATTATAAATACTTTTTGACTTTTCGTGGTCGTTTAATCCGTCCAGACGTCGGAAATAATATTTTAAGTTAAATCATCTGTAACAAGTACACATTACACGAGGTACATCTATAGACTACTAGATATACCTCATATATAGTCATCTCTAAGACTTTCGAATAGAATTAAACGATAATGAAATAAAAATAACTGATATTCATTAATAATATAGTCTTTCTTGAGTCGAGAACATTAAGGTAATAACACTTTTTTTGATAAATAAAAAAAAAATTATCAACGTATTCATTTCCGGATTACTGAAACTCAATTCAGACGCTTTCATGTTTCTAGCTCATAAGTCATAGTTCGAGATTTTATTGAATTTTTAGGGAAGAGATCAACTATTCCTACAGAAAATAAACTAATTAATAACATAAAATAATAATAATTTTAATTTATAGGAACTTTTAATAATGTTGAAGGCTAAGATGTTCTAGCTGCATGATATGTAACGTGACTATATTTTGTCGTGCTGCAACAATGGTTATAGTAGACACTTCATAAAAAATAAAATAATACCTATACGTAATTACGTAAATGATTTATAGAAAATACTTCATCAATTGTGCTTTTACCTTCTCATTACCTTATAAATAATATGTTTTGTTGTGCGATTCTATAGGATCAGGTTTGTATACTGCAGCTTTTGGTATTTTTCTCACTTTCGCCACTGCCATGTTGTCGGGGCCAGCAGACCGAGCAACGTCTAGCGACAAAGTAGCACTTCAACTCGAACAAGGAGAAAATATTGTCTTTTTATTGTAATATTATTTTATAAATGTTTATTTTCTACTTTGTGCGTATGTACATAATAATTGAAATATAATTGGTGCACTATAATTATATCTAGGTACTTAATAATTTTGTTACGTCATAACTTATATAGGTATTGTGAAATAATAAATATTTATAAGCAATATTGTATTTTTATTTTTTCATATTTATAAAAATAATTGTATACACATTTTCATTGTGCTTTACTTATATTTTTTTTTGATTTAATCGTGCCGTTCAAATAATTTTTTGTTATTTATAAATACCTATATTATTACTTAGTTTTTAAAAGGAATTCAAAGTTCTACAGTTCTACACAGTTCTTAAAATTGTGTGTACAGTGTATTACGACACACTTTGTGAAGTATCTACAAAAAATGAAATATGTACAGTGAAATTCAAAAGTGTGTAGCAAATAATGATGTTTTTTCTAAAAAAATGGGGGTTTTTCGAGGCTATTTGTTGTAAATTTTTCGAAAATGTTATTTTTAAATAATTTAAATAATTTCAGAATTTTCAAAAAAAACATTCTAGTTCTATAAATATATATTATGGTCATTCAGTAAAACTACCTTCATACAATCACGGGATTTAAGTAGTAAATAGTAACCCAAGTCTCGTACAATAATATTGTATCTAAGAATTAAAAAATTATGTAAAAATTGACATTAAAATAATTACATGAGATATTTTTGTATAAATTAGAATAAATGTGTTATAAAAACTATCATTTTAAATTAGACCACTTTTATTACATAATAACAACTTACCTATTTATACATTATATAGATATAATGTATATATATTGTATAGGTATACCACACAATCTCAAATAATAAAATATAGTATGCTTACGATGCTTATGCAAATAATATTATAGTAGGTATTGTTTATATTACTATATAAATTTAGAGTTGCAGTAAACTTCTAACTAGACCAGTATTTTATATATGTAGTACACTTATTTAATGAATTGTTCATATTTTTTTAAAGCTATGATGGTAATTTTAATTGATATGAAATGGCAAAGAACAGGATTTGGAAGCTTCACAGCTCATATTCTTTTAGTCAAGACATTTTTGATTCTGAGCTAAACTTTAAAATCATTGATACATTGATTTTTATTTTATTTACTTTTGAGTCTAAAGACTTTATGGTGAACAAAATACTTTGATGATTAATTTTCTAGATGTTTTTTGAGAACAAATTGAATTTAGGATACTTTTATAGTGTAAAAATAATAATAACCTTTATAAAATCAATATAATCATTGTTTAGTTTAGAATCCGAAATATTTTTTAAATTCGTTTGATACAACATAGAACTATAGAAGTCGGATCAAAGATAGAAATTATACAGATATAACAATTTTTTTCATTGGTTTATTAATATTATAAATAATTAGTAATATATGATAATATAATAAATATATAACTAATTATTTAAGTAATTACAATTTTGATGAACACTTTTAGTCTTTTAAAATATCATAAAGAGTACAAATTTGAAAATTGGTCAATAAATGAGTATTTAATAAAATAAAACAAACAATATATAATAATTAATACTAATTAATCATAATGGAGCTATCATAACAATGAGTAAAACTAATAGAACCACCAAGAAATCAAGGAAACCACTTAGGACTAGCTTAAATCATACCTATCACAGAAATTTGTTTATGTATTTTTGGCAATGAAGAAAAAAAAAATGAATACAAAAGGAATAATAAAATTTACTGGCAATTAGTATTTCAAATTGTCAATTTTTTAAGTCGCTATCCAGTTTGAGATACCAAAAGATGATGCAAATTATTAAATTAAACAAAGATAATAAAAAATATTATTTAAATTTTAACAAAAATATGTACTATGTGTCTTGGTTAGAACACAAATCGCACACTCGAACAGGGTTAGGCCAACCTCTGTGTGGCACTGGTTTTCGATGGTTGGAACAACCGGAACAAACGCCATGGCCACAACCACGACAATGATGCAATATTAAAGTAGATCCAAACTCTGATTTACATATATAACACTCTAATGCCTCACTGTCAGGTACCCAATATGATGGTCTAGCTGTATCTTTAATAAGATCTAAAAAATAAGATTAATTTAATACACTATAATATAATAATAATAAAAAATTAATAACAGTAACTGCTCTAACTTTTTGGATATTCTAGAACAGAAGCAACAGAAGATAATGTTTGAACTACAGCTTCACTAAACTTACGAGCCCCTACTTCATTTTCATCTCCTCGACTAGATGAATCTGAACAATTACTACTTATGCTTCCTATACATATTTTAAAATTAAAAATAACAATTAGAATTTTATAAACCATGACTTAATTCTTAAAACAATAAAGACAACAAACCAGATCGTTTATAACAAAAATTGCACACACGAACAGGTGTATTCCATCCTCTTTCTGGAACACACAATGTTCGTTTAGAACATTCATCACAAACCCCTTCTCCACATGCTCGGCAATGATGTTTTATCGATGTTGAAGAAAATTGTAATTTACAGACAATACATTCCTAATACCATATCAATTACTCTAATTATAATTAATTAATATGAGTATAGATAGTAATATTTATTTAAAGTATTGTTTGTATGACCTAAACAGTACCTTTATTTCAGCATTTGGTTTCCAGTATTTAGGTGCAAATTGATCAGCAACCCAAGAAGATAACAAGCGAGATGGTTCATAACTAACACTAGCAACTGTTTCAGAAAGATAAGTTACTCCATCTAACACTTTTCTAGCAGGATTCATACTTGATGAAGAAGGCAAATCCATCTAAGCAAACACATATAAATACTTTATTATTTACTAAACTTTAATAAAATGATAAAAAAAAAAATATTCTCAAATAATATTTCATCATGTTTAATCCTTCTATTTACACAAATGTTGGCAATAGAGCAGAAAAGAAACACAATTAATTTTCAATTGTGGAGATATCATAATTTTAATAGAGTTGGTGAGTATTATTTCTTGGACAATGAATAGATTCCAACATTTTATTTAAATTGAATAGTTTAAAAGTTGAGTACTTGAATAGTTAGATTACTTAAAAATTAAAATTGCTTGAGTGTTTGAAAATTTCCAGAATATATGGAAATTTCGAGTTTTATCATTTTAGTTCATAAAATATTTTAGTATATAATAGATTTCAGGTATAGAAAAAAATTGAATAAGGGGAAAAAAAGGTTTGAATATACCTAGTTTTCTATTTATTTTTCCAATAAAATAATCTGGTATTTGATTTAAGTTAAGTTGAATACTCGATGAGCATCCGTGTTCATTAAGTATAAATAAAAATATAGTGGAGTATTAGAATTCAATACAAAACTATATTAAAATCCAATTACTTTTCCAACTATAAATTTTATAATCAGTAAAAATAAAACATTTTTGTTTAATATATATTAGATTAAGTATTAAAATTATTTATGTAAAAAATATAACTTACACCGGGCCAGATATGCTTTGTTTCTGTATAAACAACAGTTTTTTCTGGATCATTATTTCCATACCAATACTGTTTACTACGATAAATGACACCACATTGTGGACAATCAATAGTATACCTAAATAGTATGTTAAAATATAATACATAATAATATCCAGTATATTTATTTTATCATACTTTAATTTTGGTGAATATTTACCCAGACAATGCATATTTAAACCAAGAATTTTGATTATCATTCGTATATTTCGTTGTAACAGCAACAGGTGTTCCGTTGTCTGCACACACTTTACAAATATAAACAGAATTTTCAAATTGTGACTGATATCTGAAACATATTATATTTCTCATTTTTAATATTTTAATTGATACAATAAAATAAGAGTTAGACTCATGAATTTTCATTCTTTTTATATCTTAAGTATCTAACATCCATTTCTGTAAGATCAATTTATTTAATTAGACATTCTAAAAATAAAACTCTATTCAACATCATAACTAAAGAAAATTGAATCTTTTTTAAATTAACATTTTATTAAAATTATCTTTGCTTTTCTAGCTCGAATCAATAAGTAACATAAATATAAAATATATAAAATATAAAATATATAAAATATAACCTAACCTAAACAACCTATGCCTTATATGTTTTTATAATAATGTTCTTATATTGGTTTTTTTTTATTCAAAAATATTTAAAATGATAAAAAAATTTTAAATTTTTTCAACTATCATAATGTGAAGAATTTTTTCAAAGTATGTATCAAGACATAAAAATCAAATCAAAATTTGGACAAGTAGATTATGAGTTATTACTGTTAAATATTTAAAGTTCAGATAAGGAGAATAGTAGACTGACATTTTGCAAAGTATCCCCATTTTACTCCACTCACTCATCTTAACTTTAAATACTAGTTTTAATTAATCCTTTGAATTTCAATTTTTGTGTATTAAAATATTCTGAAAATTTTTTTTTACATTATGATTGCAAAAAAATATAGATTCATATTTAAACTTTTTTTTTTAGTTGACACCTAACCCCCCCCCCCTTCTAAAATATTATAAGATATCATAAAAATTACTTATCATTTTAGATATTTCTCAAAAAAATTTTTTATTGTATAAATGATAAAATATCTATAAAATAAATGTTGAATCACCTTGTGTCCCTGTATGTATAATAAATATTAAATAATAATAAAACAACTGAAAATTTAAAGCAATAACAGAAAAATAATAACTAAAACTGAATCAAATAAATATAAAATATTAGAAAAAAAGAAAAATTATAAAACGTTTATGCTCTAGTCCTTGACCCATGTGTTAATCTATCTTTGAAGACAATATAAATGTTGTATAGAATAATGAATAGTTAAAGTGGTTAAGCACATGACAGAATCTTCAACACAGTTTTTAATATTACCTGCATTTAGAATTGTTAAAATGGGGAATGTTATCTTTTAAATGTCCAACACTATTTGAACACCGCTGTTCACAAGATTGACATACAGTTGGGCATGTTAAATGTTGGTCTGGAAACAGTGGTTCAATTGAAGTTTTAATTACC